GAACGGAGCTCCCTCAGAGAGCTCGCCGGATGGAACAGAACTCCCACAGAGAGAGAGAGAGAGCTCGCCAGACGGAACTGAGCTCCCGCAGAGAGCTCGCCGGACGGAACGGAGCTCCCACAGAGAGAGAGAGAGAGCTCGCCGGACAGAACGGGGCTCCCTCCGAGAGAGAGAGAGCTCGCCAGATGGAACAGAGCTCCCTCCAAGAGAGAGAGAGAGAGCTCGCCGGATGGAACGGAGCTCCCTCCGAGAGAGAGCTCGCCGGAGGGAACGGAGCTCCCTCCGAGAGAGAGCTCGCCGGAGGGAACGGAGCTCCCTCCGAGAGAGAGCTCGCCGGACGGAACGGAGCTCCCTCCGAGAGAGAGAGAGCTCGCCGGACGGAACGGAGCTCCCTCCGAGAGAGAGCTCGCCGGACGGAACAGAGCTCCCTCCGAGAGAGAGAGCTCGCCGGACGGAACAGAGCTCCCTCCGAGAGAGAGCTCGCCGGACGGAACAGAGCTCCCTCCGAGAGAGAGCTCGCCGGACGGAACAGAGCTCCCTCCGAGAGAGAGAGCTCGCCGGACGGAACAGAGCTCCCTCCGAGAGAGAGAGCTCGCGGACAGAACGGAGCTCCCTCCGAGATAGAGAGCTCGCCAGATGGAACGGAGATCCCTCAGAGAGAGAGAGCTCACCGGATGGAACGGAGATCCCGCAGAGAGAGAGAGAGAGCTCGCCGGAGGGAACGGAGCTCCCGCCGAGAGCTCGCCGGAGGGGTCTGAGTGCACAGTTCGTGAGAATACCGCTCAGATCCCAGCTAAAACAACCGAACGCCGCACGAAATACACTTTGCCATTGAGTTTGCCCCAAAGTACTGAACACCGATGGAGGAACCCTAATAGCGAAAGACCGGAACTCCTGAACGGCCTGGAAGTCCAGCGGTGTTCGCGCCGTCGAGTAGCCATTTTCAGTTTCACGCGCTCGACGACCAAACACCGCTGGTGAAACAAAGGATCCAAGATGGCCGACCGCCGCGTGGTCGGTAGCCGAACGACGGCCACCTAGGAAAGCCTCTAATTACCGATTGCAACATTGTTACAATCAGGGCTCGAGTCCTGCAGGAACGCATGGGAACGGCGTTCCTGCACTTTCTCCAAAGCAGGAACGCCGTTCCCGTTACCTGTCCTGCAGGACCGGCCCTGCTACCTGCACTGAGGGGCCATCACATGCTGTGTTCCTTCTCCAGCTATAACTCTCGCGAGACCCGCGGCTGTTACCATGGCAACGCTCCGCACAGGCGAGTCTCGCGAGAGTTAGAGCTGGAGAGGGAACACTGCGTGTGATGGCCCCTCTGTGCAGCGGCTGGTTCCCTCCAGCATACCACCGGACCACCAGGCGATCTCCCCCCTCCCTGACAAGGTAAGAAGCAGGGAGGGGGGAATAAAATAAACAAATATAAACACATAAAGTAAGAAAAAAATGCTTCCCCTCCCCCACATCATCCAGCACACACACACACACACACACACACATCATCCAGCACACACACACACACATCATCCAGCACACACACACATCATCCAGCACTCACACACACATCATCCAGCACTCACACACACATCATCCAGCACTCACACAAACACCCATCATCCAGCACACACCCATCATCCAGCACACACACACCCATCATCCATCACTCACACACCCATCATCCAGCACTCACACACCCATCATCCATCACTCACACACCCATCATCCAGCACTCACACACCCATCATCCAGCACACACACACCCATCATCCAGCACTCACACACCCATCATCCAGCACACACACACCCATCATCCAGCACACACACACCCATCATCCAGCACACACACACCCATCATCCATCACTCACACATCCATCATCCAGCACACACACACACATCATCCATCACTCACACACCCATCATCCATCACTCACACACCCATCATCCAGCACTCACACACCCATCATCCAGCACTCACACACCCATCATCCAGCACTCACACAAACACCCATCATCTAGCACTCACACAAACACCCATCATCCAGCACACACACACACATCATCCAGCACACACACACACATCATCCAGCACACACCCATCCAGCACCCCACAAACACCCATCATCC